TGCCAAAGGGTGGCAACCCGTTGTTCAAACATCTCAGGTTTGCTGACGGCAGTGAACGACCATGTTAGTTAACTGTTATTGTCTAGGTGTGACATCGAGGATGAACAAGCATTAAGGAGAGTATTTTTTTGTTTTTTTTTTTTTTTTTTGGTACGGATTGATTCCGATGAAAAGGATTAGGCTGTAAATGGCATTAAACTTTTTCCAAAGTGGGTTACATCATTCATAATTAGATTAGCATTGACCAAGTCTTATTAAACGGAAATTCCTTGATAGAAGGATAGCAGCATTAAAGTCAATTTCGCTTAACAAGGCTGACACATTTTTAACAACATTTATCAACTTTAGAAAAAAGCTGATATCTGATGTTTCTGTCGTCAAACTAGTAACAATGGCCTGTTTGCATGAGGTGACAATGAAACTTGGAGGCCCTGGGTCAAATTGCTCAACGCAAGAAGTGAGAAATGCTTTTGGACTCATTGAATAGAACCTACATGGCCACGATATGGCATATTTGTATGGTCTAACAAAAGTCGTATACGCTTTTTAGCAATGCGTGGACACGACGAGTGTTTGATAAAACCAAGCACAGATCCAACTCCAAAGTTCTGCATGTGCATTAAACTGAAATTGATTATCGATTAGTAGCTCAAGATTCGCAAATGTCTCCGCGTTTTCAAGACAGGAAATAATCTGTGGTAGAGACCCTCCTTCTTGAGAATGATAGTTGTTTTATTTAAGGTTAATGTTAAAAAATCGACCGAACACCGTGCAACCATATTAACAGTCCGATTACAGATTAGTGGCGTAGGGCTCGGCATTGAAGGATATGAACACTTTTACCTTCGTGTACATCAAGGTCTAGGATAAATTGATCTCAGTCTAGGGATTATTAATATATTGTTACGAAAATCGCACATTTAATTGGAAACCAAATTCCAAAAAATGACAAGACTAAGTACACATTCATTACGCTGTTTTACCGGCTTCATTCAGATGGCGATTATCGAAAAAATTAGCAACATTTCCCAGAACCTTTTGCGGAAAACCAGATCGAAGGTCACAACCAAGTTAGGTACTGATAACTTCCTTGTAATCAGGTATAAATGCAGGATATTTGTGGAAGGCAAAATCAAAGTGAAAGTCAGCAGAATTGAATTATAACACTCGCACGGATCAGGACAGAACTGTAAATAAAGCCTATGCTATCCTAAAAATCACAATTCATTGGTACGAACTTATCCGCAAAATATATTGAATAAAAACGCAAAAATGACAAAAGACCGTTCATTTTATAATTTACAACAGTTGTCAGGTTCACGTAGCTACTTTGAGAAACATTGGACGCAAGTGGAAGTTCATCAGAATGATCGGGAGTAAGGTGTAGCCTGAAAGATTTGCTATGGAGACACAATCCACTATCCCTTTAACTGTGTTTGAGAAGAAATTGAACGAGGACATTTCGTAACCAATGCTCAATTCTGTTAGCGGACTTACTGAAGTCTGGGTAGATGACTCCTATTTGCAACATACGAGGGAAAGCCTTAAAGATCTGACTTGGGAATGCTAAAAGCTTTGGTTGATACTTCTTCTCACAATTCACGCTGATACGGAGAGAAGTAAATGTTTATTACAAAAGCTAATGCTGAGCAACAGTGTACTCAAACTGTAAACAGCAAACTCAGGACAGTGGGTAGTAGACTCAGTTTAACGGTGATGTCTTCTGCTATTTTTATGGATAGGGATAAGAAAATTATTTTTTTAGATCGATGGACAGCACGATTTCGGAGAGCTTTAAGATGGGTGCTGGAACCCCAAATCGTTTTGCATATACTTGAAAAGACATTCGAAAACACCATTGTCTTCATTTTCATACCAGTAGGCTGTTGTGAAGTCATTACTTTCGACGGGAAGGTTAACTTTCGCAAAGAGATTCGTATTTTTAGAAACACTTAGGAGTCGTTAAGAGTGAGGATTTTACCTTAAGAATGTATTTTTGAAAAATCTCATATTTCGCATTCAATCACTTCCCAAGGATTTCTTGCATAGTCACTCTTCTGGATCTGAGTAGGCGTGATGTCCGAGGAAACTGTTATACGATAATGGCAACTGCTGGGAAAAACTTGTCCTAAAGCGAGGACAGAAGAGTACCTACTTGTGTCATCACGTACATTGCCAAAAAGAAGATTCAGCAGTAAATTTCTTAAACGAATGAAATTTTTTTTTACTGAAGGCATATCATGGACGAGTAGAAATTCAAATAACGTAAGAGGATTAGTGTCATAAAAAGCCTTTAATGATATGCATGTAAGATTAAAAACAAACATCCCGTTCAGTTTCCTTAACTATGTTAAATGTAAAGGTATTTTCTGCTTTCATACGAAAATAAATGGGAAAAGTTCTGAGCAACGTCACAGAGACATTGCACACAAGGACTTTCTTTATGGTTTTCGTAACTTAATAATCTTGTTTTATAACAACATGGCGATTGAACGACTTCATTTTGACTGTTGCTCCGAAGTCCGAAACTTGGTGTCAGGTCGCCAAGCTCCCAAGTAATTACATCTAAGAAAATCAGAAAATCATAAGCGTTTTTACACCCATCACCGAAGTATGAGTATATTCATATACATGTATATATGTGTAAGTATATATATATATATTCTTGAGTAGCATTAAATCCTGAATCCATTTAAGAATACCCGTCTGTCCATCTGTGTACTGCCTGTAGTAAACATTCTTCTGGCCGCAAAAATCAAACTATCGACTTCGAATTAGGAAAATGATTGGAAGCTCTTCCACGCAAGGTGGTATTGGAAATGGACCTAATCGAACACTTCTGTTTTGCAAAGAAAATAAGCAATGTGTTTCTTTGTTCATTACTTATAAATTACAGCACAGAGATCTACAAAAAGTTGAACGTATATTCTAAGAACAATGCCGTAGTACCTCTACAAAAATTAAAAAAATTGGCGACACCTGCTTCTTGTACTGTGTAATAATTTAATTTTTTTGTCAAAACCTTTATATAACGCACAGAAGCAAGATTCAAAAACCTCATAAAATGTATAAATTCTTGGACAATTTCAAATTTGGAATGTACCTAAGCATATCCGTCTATTCGTCTGTCCATCTGTCTGTCTGCGTAATTGTGTTGTATCTGTGGTGAACTACCGCCCGCTCGCAAAAATGAAGATATCGCCTACAAACTTGCCAAAAAATTTGGGAATACTCCGAACTTTTGAAAGAAAAAGCCTACAACGTCCACACGTCTATGTAACAAGAAGTGAACACTTTTGTTTTCCGTGGTTTTTACTTGTTACTCATAAAATGCGACAAAAATAGAAAAAAAAATCGATCGCGCGCATTCAATAATATATAGCACGAAATATTTGGCTTTTCCTTTTTTTAGGGCCACGGTGATGGACATAAAAGATTCGATCACGACCCAGTATAATTTTCTTATTTGTTATTAACTAAAGGAACAGCGGCAGAGTGCTGCTCTAAATCTAAGAAAATTTCGACGCTTATTTTTCAAACTTGTTGCGTAGATAAGACGATCGTTGCGTAACTTGAAAGCAAATGGGTGCCCGCTTTACATTAGATCTGATAACCTTACTCGTCCGTATATGTTGTCGAAACCTTCTGAAAACTTCTTTAGTATTGTTACGAAAATCGCATGTTTGATGAAGTGAGCCTGCATAAAAGCTGCCTAACTCCTTTAAAACGGCACCTCGCAAAAGTATTACGAAAGCAATGAATGCAAACAAAGATTTTCGACTTTTACCCATAGACGTTGTAAAGAAAATACGCGTTATGCGAATGAAGACAACTAAAACTTCTTAATAACGAAGAAAATATAAAATGTAAGCGAATTAAGAAAATCGTAAGAACTAAATATGGTACCCGTTTTGAGGGTTTAAAAGCAAGGCATTTGCTCAAGCTGAGAGGATCCAATTCGTTGACTCCAAGAAATGAATGAGCGCTCAATGGAATGAAGTGCTATGAAATGGTACATAGCTAGTTGCTGTAGATAAGTTCCTTTATAACCTTCTCCTCCTTTGAAACCATTTTCAGTAAATAATTCTTTTTATACTTGTAAATAAAACCCTAAACTATTCACAATCCATTGGCAGGGGCCTAACTTAAGAATTCTGAAGGATTTCATGTAAAGCGGAAAATGAGATTTACGCGACAGTTGAGAGCCCCACATACGCAACGAATGCTTTGCACAATTCATATTTACGTCAGTCATAAAATGAAGAGAATATATATCTATATACATATATATATATATATATATATACACATATACAAACACATACAAACAACTACAAATATACCTACAATTAGTTAGACATCATGTAGACCTGTAGGACCCATTCTTGTTCTTGTTCGACCACCTTCGATAATTCGCCAGCAACTGTATAAACATTCTACGAAATGCAAGAATGTGCCTGATGAAGGGTGGACTATCGATCCACGAAATGCTTTCCAATCTTCTTATACATCGATCGGAAATAATGATATTATATTAATAAAATCGTATACACCTTAGGGCCCCTAAGAATTCTTTCCTCTTATTTTGTCATTTATCCAATTACAAACAATTGGCTTTGAATTAGTAATAAGGGGGACAAAATTTACGCCCAAGATGACTTTATTTCTAAATCAATCCTTCCCAACATGTTAAAGTTGTTTTGCTTAAGCGCAAACATGCCGCGAATCAATCACTATCCTTGTTAAAAGGACGTAAAAAATTCATCTGTAATTGATTTCAATTAAGTCACATTCACACAAATATCTATAGAATATCGATACATTCACGCAAAGGCGACCAGTTAAAAATGTATGGAAATTTGGTAAAAGACCAAATCCTTTTAATTTGCAAACTAAATCAAAAAATGTATGGAAAACAAAACATTTTTGTGGGTATTGTAAGGACAGTGCTCTCCATGCGGAGCAAATATATTAATTATTCGAATAATGCCAAAACTTACCTGTTTGTTGTACATCTCGTTCAAACTCTATTAATCCATAAAATTGAGCTTCAGTTGGTGAGTTGAGATGACGAAGGGTTAGAAGAGTATCGGATATATGATAAATATGGTTCACTCTATCCGCTGTACTAAACCATGAACGGAGGCAAACAACGTAAATATATATGTATATATATATATATATAAGGTTTTCCTGGTGCCAAACAGTTGAGGACCGACGAGTGTACGAGAACGCAATTAAATGGGTATACAACGAAAATTTATATCCTTTTTCCTGAAAAATTGTGGCAGCAATGAATGGTTGGTTGGTTGCTTAGCCGACGTTGCTGTTGTTGCGTGTGGTTAAAGTTGTTTAAAGTTTAAAGAGACCAACAACAAACACCAACCGAAAACCAGCGTTTTGTAATGTCTCGAGTTGAGTGGACTATATTGTTTTTTGTTTTCCAAATCATGGATAAAAGCCATACATACACACATTCATATTATGAACAGTAAAGTGGAAAAAGAAAAATATAGTGAGATATGGGAAGTTGTTCTAGTAACAAAGCGTAAAACGTAAAATGGTTAGTGATAGCAGCAGCAGCAGTAGTGGTTGCAGTAGTAGAATAGTAGTAGTAGTAGTAGTAGTAGTGGTAACAGTAGTAGCAGCAATAGTAGTAGTAGTTGTTGTTGTTGATGTTATTTTCGAGCGCAGATTTCCTTGTTTTCGTGTTTTTTTCACATAACTCACCGAAAAACAAGAACAAGACTAACAACCGTAAAGAAATGGAATCACATTTTGGGAAAAACTAGAATACCGATCCGCACATAAACAATATGAAAGCTTTCCTTTTTTTTTTTGTCTTTGTTCTTCTTTTCTTTTTTTATTTTATTTCATTTTACTTTATTTCTTGTAGAGAGACAACACCAGTATTATATATAACTAACAGTAACAACAAACAACAGCGGTAATATTACATTAAAATACAAGTACACGCACACTCGCAAATGCACAGTGGCACAAAACATAGAAACAGAAACGATAATATAAAGAAACTTGCCGAACGCACTCTTTTTATCTGTTTTTACCCTCTTTTGCTCTCTGCTTTGTCCTCCCCACGCTCAGTCACTCTTTTGTAAATTCTCTACCGGTGTAGAGCGCCATGTTTAAGTGAACAAATTCGTTTATGTGTATAGTGAGTAGAAACAATACAAAAACGCGCACACATGCATACGTTAACGACCATAAAACGAGAGACAACAACAGGCCGAACCGAAAACTAGAATAGGGTATAAAAAGGCGAATTAACGAAATTTACTCAAGTTATCTGTTCTTTTTTTTTTTTTATTTTTTTTTTAATTAATAAAATTTTTTTAAATTGTAATAATTATTTTATTTTTACTTCTGCTTATATTGAAAAAAAAAAAACACGAAAACAGCAGACACTTGCACAAATTTTCATAAATATAAATATAAGTAAGTAATTTTTCAAAACGTTTTCATTTGCTATATTTGAGTTGTTTTTTTTTTTTTCATTTCTCTTCACTTTTTCCTTGAAAGGCCTTTAATGGTTATCTGGAAAGATATAAATAAAAAAAAAAGAACTTATTAGCCATTTTATTTAAAACGAGCTGCAGCATAACAGAGAGACAAAGCCAGCGAATTCAAATATAGTCAGCTTAAGACGAATATTTGATGCCCAGAAATATGAAAAGAATATTGCAAACATGACCTGCAAGGGATGTTGTCGTTCATTGTATTTACGCAAGAATGCAAGGCATCCAATAAGTTTTAATTTCGTGAAAATGGAAGCTAATCCAATTACAATACTCTACACCACTTGCGGTATTATAGCATATTAAGTGTGTGTAGATTTATGCAGGAACCAGAAGGGCTTGATCCATTTAAGTTTGTCTGTCCGTACACATTTGTGTTTAACCTACAGGTAGTAAATTGTTAAGATATTTGGTTGAAATTTTTATATCCCAACGTGTTTTGGCGCCAACGCAGAATGCTTTCGCAAATGGTTCAGATCAGACAATTTTTTGGACAACTTGCCGTTTAACGTCTTATTTGTAAAAGCCTTATAATGACTGTCTTAAACGAAGTTATGGGCCGTTCCCCGTTATAATGCTTTTACTTATTTTATTCAATTGTTGTGTTATTCGTTCTCAATTTTCTAAACACCGTCGTGACATAAATACTAATGATTAGTAAGACATAGACTAGCATTCTTTAGTCGGAATGGCAACTTTATGAAATCTCCGCATTCGATTTTTATTTATATCGCTTAATAAAACTAACATAGCCTCCCATTGATAGGATAGCAAAAGTTTCTATCAAAAGGAATTTATGAAAAATATTTTCCATACACTTTACTGAGATTTTCTCGGCTAGTCCTTTCTTTTACATATGTACACATAACAAGTTTTATTGATTTTTTGTTGACTTTATTCGTCCGTTACCGTCAACATTGTTGTTGTTGTTGTTATTGTTGTTGCTGTTCTTACCATTCTTTTATCTTTTCCCCAACGAACATATTTATTTTGTGCCTTTTTGTTTTTCCTTTTCCTATGACACGATAACAATGGCGTTGAGAAATATAACGGAGCAAATTTACTTTAAATGTGGTTGATGATAGTGAACGTAAAGATTTTGTGGGATTTCCTCAACGCTATGTAGCAAGCAGCGGTTATGCTATAAAACTATAATAAAGTCGCTTACGTTGTTAGCAAGATATCCTTATAACAGATACAGAATAATATTTGCATGCATATAAATGTATATAAATTCATATACAAATGTATCAAAGTGCAATTTATGGCTTGTATCTGCTTTCGCTTATCAAGTGCTAAAAATATTTTAGCTTATGTGAATGCGCACTTTTACAATGTAAACAACGGAATACACCGCATAACCAGAAGCCATTAAAGATTCTCAATTTAACTAACACAAACCAAACAAACCAAAGTAAAACAGAGAAAGCGCCGCAAATTTATTAAGAGAGAAAGGAAGAGTATGAACATATATATATATATATATATATATATATAAATGTTTCAATAGACGTTATGAAAATCAAAAGCTATTAATATTGAGGCAAACCGGCGGAACACAATAGAATCGCAGTATAAGTGAGAAGAAAGTAACAACCGCGTACTTTGTTATCACTCAGTAGTCAATAATAAGAGCTTGTGATTGTCTTACGATTAGAGAGATCACAATTTCAAAAACCCACAAAATTCATTTGAATTTTGCCCATGACTACCTCGTGATTTCTGGAGCCTAAATGCTGTTGCTTACCATACGACTGTATGTATCTTTCGAATTATTCAAAGCCTAAGATGTAAAAGAGATCCATAAATATCTCTTCAAGGACAAAACGAACTGTGAAGATCTGGAACGGGCATAACCATAAAACCAAAATGTTACGCGATACCACTACTACGCAATTCAAAGAGGATGTCAACATTATTAAAATGGAAGTCTTTATTTTCGAAAATAGTATATATATGAAACATACTACCACGTAAGGATATTAAGCGATTTATTTGCATTTGAGAAGTCAGCTCATAACACAAACAGATTCTCTTCTCTATAATAGAAGCAGATTTCACGTCACTCAATAAGTCTCCGGTCTGACACTTATATAGCAATATCGTTAAAAAGCTCACATTATTTCTGGATAGTATCGGTCTTCAAAGGTTACGTGTCAAAATTTCATCAAATTCCAAGCGTTGGTTTATAAGTTACGTTGGTTTTAGTTGGGCTATTTATCTGATCTGGCTGTGGACAGATTTTGCCAGTTGCTGACCGTTGATTGGACTCTGAAGTCGATGCATTGTCACATATCGCATGAAAAAAGATTTTTTTTTTTTTTTGATGTAAACATCGCCAAACAGAGCGCGAAAGATGCACTTGGTTGGTCTTGGTTGCAATGTAAATTTGTTGACAAATGTATCTAAAAAAATTATGACAAATTCGTCAAATCGCTGGGCTAGGAAAACACAATTACAACTTTCTAGAAATACAGACAACAATTATGTGAAAGCATAAGAGCCTATGACAAATAATCCCACGAAGTTCTAGAGAAGTAATTTCTATTAACGACTAACGCCTTACTTTCGAGACAAGAGAAAGCCTTTGAGAGATAATCTAGATGATCTACGGTCAAGGAGAACAACTGAATTCTATCTTTATGGGCCCTTCCTGAATACATATTCTTATTCTTGAACAAGTGAAAATCTTGATACCCACCAACACAAACCAATATTAAAAACTATTGTTAATTAAGAAAACTAATTGGCGGGGAAAATTTTTAGATGTCACTGAATAATATTAGTTTGGGGAAAAAGAAATCCATTATTTTTATATGAACTTCAGGACTTTATTTAACATGCTTCGGATTGTCCGATTTGGGTAAAATAATGGATTTCTTTTTCCCCAACCTAATATCTTCACCAGCTTTGAGATTAAGATCTGTTTGGTATAAGCTATAAGCAACAGCCTCGCTATTGCCAACCTGAGTTGATTCCCGTCAATTTTCGAATTGTACTGACTTTTAAGAGCCGTCAACCCTACTACAACATCTGCTTTAGGTTCTAAGTTAGATGTTGGTTGCTCCTAAGCGCAAACTTAATTTGTAGACATCAATATGATCACCGCAGACCTCCAGTTTTGTTACCGTAATCGTCTTCATAACAGACGAATAGGTAGGCTCGCCCAAACCTTCAATCTGAATACAAACCTCTAGCATATTCTTGAATATTGTGCAAGCTAGGGCATATATACAATTCCCTAGCTACCAACTTCACATCTATCGCCATAAGAGATCTAAGACATGCATATAAAAAAAGTGCGTATATTAATAAATGTACATAATAGGTTTAAACTTATCCATCTATCTAATATCTCGCTCATCTATTTTTAATTTCAAAAGTATTAGTTACGCCCTTAAAAATGTTTATATGAAATATGAAAAGAGGTCTATTGTAAGTGGAATGAATTCGACCATTCTTTGGAGCACTCCTCATATAACAGGGTATTTTGAATAAATCGTAATATGAAAAAAATATGTCCTATTTAGGTCAACGGAAATCTTTGAAGATTAGTGTCTTGGCACATGATAGCAACGGGAGACTTGCTTCATTTTTCTTTTATACCATTAAAGTAATATTAAAAACCAAAAATTAATCAACTTTTTAACTTTTCACGATGGTATCCGAAGTACAGCGAAGTATTGGTTGACCTTGCCTGACTAACACTTTGCGCAGAAAAACTGTGACAATTTCTTGAAAATTTCTTGAGATATTAGGGAAGCAATAAAGGCAAAAATATGCAATACTTACCCGCCTCAGGCAGCTGAGGGTTAACAAAAGTATCTTGGTAACGAATAAAAAAGGAAACCCAGAGGATAAGAGCAAAATCATTAGGACTGAATGCCTTTGGACGAATTTACAAGATAAAAGACAAGAGAGTTTAAATGTGTTTCGGCACTCAGTGAAGTAAAACGCTGTGGAATAACAAATCCCTGTAACCAAGTGCGCTGTGACTTTGTAAATTGTATTCTGCAAACAGCTTTTTCAATCTTGTAAACACAGTTTTAAGCAGTGCATACTCCAGGTAGACGAACTTCATTTATCATATGTTACTAAGAATATGTAATCAATAAAAAGGAAATTTCAGACAACTAAATAAAGTTAAGAAATGAGAATAACTCATTGATAAGATCGTATAGAATGACTAGAAACTAGAATTTGTTTTGTAAATTATACAGATATTCATATAGAAGATATCACAGCTTTTTCTGAACTAATTAAAGATCTGACGCAGAAATGATCTGCTAATTTCACTAGCTTGCGTACGCTACGCTTGTACCCTTTTGTTAATGTACACCTTTCTTATATACCTAACAATGAAATAAAAAAAATAAAAAACAAATTCTCGCATACCCACCACCATGCTTTTGGCTTTCTATTCTTCAAGTTCTTTTATTTGATACCCATATCGCTCGTATTATTAAGAAAAAATTAATCGCGGTGTCCATCATTTTCATTTTAAAATTAACCCATTTCTAGGCAAATAATACGTCTTCATTTGAGGAGTGTACAAAATAGTTTCTAACGTTTTGTCTTGTTTGCTTTATGATAAATAAGCTTTAAACCTCAAAAGAGTGGAACAAATTAAATTTAATTACTCGTCACTTTACGTGGACACGACCGATTCGTTCCATTTTTGGACCTAGAGACTGAAGTGCCTCGTAAAGCACATGCGGAAAGTTTCTGCCTTCTAAATTTAGTAATTTTTGAATAGAGAGCAAAAATCCAAAAATTTTTATTGTAAAAAAACGGA